TCTCTAGGTGCCCAGTACTTCCCATGTCTGCTTCTCACTTCTTCCATGATGGTGTATGTTAACACTTCCTCCAGTTAGAACTCTGCTTACTCAAGGGCTGATCAAATTTGGATCTTCCTCAAATTTCTGTTGATTTTCGGCGGGAACAAAATAAAGCCTTGATTTGTTTGTTTGTTTGTTTATTTTTAGTTAATCAAAGCTGGCTGTCCTGAAATGAGAACTAGGAAATTCCACTGCCTTTCCTATGTTTAAGGAAAGGGGGAAGTAATTCAGAAAACCACAGACCTGTTAGTCTGCCCTCAGTGGTATGCAAATCTTGAGAACAAATTCTGAAGAAGAGAAAAATTAAAGGCCAGCTGATGCCTGGCAGGTGGAATTAAAGCAGCCTTCATTTACCCAAATCTGTTGGATTTGTATGGTATCTTTCCTTGATTTTTCTAAACACGACAAATAAGATAGAGTAGCTGTGTCAGGATTGCAACAATGCATTTGATACAGTGCCACCTGGGAAATTGCTAAATTAAGATGGAAAAATATGGGGATCAATACAGGAATTAGACAGTGGGCAAGGAACTGGCTGAAGCGATGTAACAATGAGTTGTGTCCAAAGGCAAAGTACCAGGCTGGGAGGGAGGTTCTTAGCAGAGTTTCTCCAGGTTTGTTCTTGGAATTGATTGTGTGTAATATTTCGGTGATGTCTTTGAGACCAAAAGGATGTTGCTAATAAGGTTTGCTGGCAACACAGAGTTGGGAGCCGTGGTTGAAGCAGAGCAAGCAGGGTGGGGATATTGCTCAGGAAGAATCAGGTGGTCTTGTGGACTAGCGTAAAAGAAGTGGGATAAAAATCTAATAGGAAACGGTGTGAGGTCCTGCACGCGGGGACTCGGACATCCTTGTTGTCAGGTAGAAACTTATCGAGTGTAAACAAGAGGGGAAGAGAGACTTGGGCGCACTGTTCCACTATAGTCACCCTGAGATCAAATAACTCCATACAACCATTAAAAAAAAATACAGACCACAGTATAGCTCAGGGAAAGAAAATATGAATGCCATTGTGCAAGTTTCTGGTAGGACCCTATGTGGAGCACTGTGAGCCTTCGCTCACTCATGCTCAGGACAGTTTCACTAGAGCTGGGACAGGCATAGAAGAGTGCTGTTAGGATGGTCGGGGAGTTGGAGAAGACACCAGAAAGAGTTGGCTTGTTCAGCCTAGCAAAATGGAGGTGAGGATGGCTCCCTGCAGATACTGTGGGGAGGAACTTAGGGGGTAGTGTTGGCCTGAGAGCAAATGGGGATGAAAGGGGCAGTAAGTTAATTGTAGGCTTGAAACTAGAAGTGTTTTGCTCATTAGAGGAGTGAGGTTCCCAGTAGGAGCAGCAGGGCGAGATCTGAGTAGGTTTATGGAAGGGGCTACACGTAGCGGCTGCCTGTGGTCGGATGGCAGGAAACTGGGCTGGACGACCCAATGGGTCTCTTGCAGGCCTGATGCTTTCTTCTCCCGTGTTGGAGTCCCCAGGCCCTTGCGGTGCTGAGTAAACAGAACTGCTCTGCACCAATTCCAGATTCCCTGCTGCCTCCCGGGTCTGTCACCCGATGAGAGAGGCCTGGAGTGGAACGGCCGCCAGGTGGAGCGAGATACCACGGCAGCTCATTAGCCCTTCGTCCCATGCAGCCACTGCCCTGGGCTCTGACTTTGCAAACATAGTGGGGGGGGAGGGTGCCCCCACATGCCCTGGGGGTGTGATCTGGACCCGCTGGCAAGGCCAGGTCCTTTGTTCACTCACCTGCTCCTCCTTGATGGTCAGCATTGCAAGACCTTCCTTTCTTACTTGTTGCACAGACGGTTTTGTTTTCCTTGTTGGAGATGGCTTAAGAAGCAGCAGGAAGATGGGGAGCGTACAGAGGTAGAGCAGTAAGTTACCAGTGTGGTGTTGGTGGGTGCAGCCGTGTAAGTAGGTAAGAAAGCCCAGGGAGGAGGCCACAGAAACAGAGCATTGCAGCTGGCAGTGACCCCTATATGCATATCGGTGGCCTGATACTTACAGTATAGAATAAGGTTGTAACCTCCTAGTGACTAGCTAATGGGATGAAGTTCAGTGCTGCCAAATGCAAGGTGTTGCACCTCTGGGAGGCTAATCAAAAATGCAGATACAAATTGGGTGACACCTGGATGGATGGCAGCACTACGAGAGAGGTCTGGGAGTCTCCTGTGGAGACTGATCCACGGAGTCTGCAGCGTGATGCAGCCACACAAAAGGTGAGTGCAGTTTTGGGCTGCATCAGTAGAAGCATCAGGTGCAAGACATGGGATGGGAGCATGCCTCTCTGCTTGGCACTGGTCAGGCCTCATCTAAATTACTGTGTTGTTTTCAGCTCCACGTTTTAAAAAAGGTTGCAGAGAACTTTGAGAGGATCCAGAGATGGGTACCGTCTTCAGAGGTGCTGGGGATTGTGCAGCTGGCTGTGCCAGTGCTCATGCTGGGACTGAAACTCAGAGGTTCCTGGCTAGAGGCTCTTGCCCCTGGCTCAGGGTCAGACCGATTGTTGCATTTGGGGTTGGGAAATAGTTTTACCTCTGGTCAGATTGGTACGGGAGTGGGGGGGTTGGTGTCTTCTGCAGGGGGGGCACAGCATCTGCCTGGGATCTCTCCAGCATATATTAACAACCTTTGTAGCAGCAGGACGTTGGTTGCCCTGATCCCCCTGCTTTCCCTGCGACGGTCAGGTGTGGTGCCTAGTGCCACATCAGGGTTGACTGTAGTTTTTCTGAGAGGCTGCACAGTGGATTTGTCTGGGATGGTTTGGGCAAAGGCTGGACTAGATGCGACCTCTGGAGGCCCCTTCCAGCCCCACAAGAGCACGTATTTGCAGCTGGTTTCTGAAATGTGCCAGGGAAAGGTATGCTGGGCAGATGGGCCTGGTCTTTCTCCTGTGGAAATCCCTCTGGCTTTTGCTAAACAAAATGAAGTAGGGAGTCCCTGGCTCATGGTTAGGAAACCCAGTGGATTCAACCACCTCTTGTAACCATCTCAAGGGCCAAGAACCAGGTGACCACGTCAGTCCCTGTCCAGCCCTTCTCCCCCCACGGTTCTGGTTAAGGATCGTGGCACTTGGAGTGATTTCTCTGCCAGATGGGGGGAGGGGGGGTGACAGGGAGCCTGCGCTGGGCATGCTGGCTCACCGGGGCCAGGAGATGAGCCCGTTCTGCGCCGGCAGGCTGAGGAGCGCGGGGGCAGGCCAGCAGCAGGGCTGGGTGAGTGGCTGGTGCGGAGGCTCATTCCCCTCCAAGGCCCGGCTGCTCTGGCCCCGGTCGCAAAGGGGCAAGTGCGCTGCGGCGGCTGTTGCGGTCACGCACCAGTCGGGCCTTGGCACGGGGTGGGCAAGGGGCGCCGGGTGAGGGATGGCTGCGGGGCCTGGTGTCAGCGTGGTGCTGGCCGTGCAGTGGACCTGGGCGAGGGGCTGGGTGTCTGGCAGCGCTCGCTGTGCAGTGGACACGGGCAGGGGCGCTGGGCAGCTGCAGGGCCTGGCATTAGGGTGGTGCTTGCTGCGCGGTGGATGGGGGTGCGGGCAGCTGCGGGGCCGGGGGTCAGGGCGGTGCTCGCCGCGTGGCGGATGTTGGTCGCAGGGCGCTGAGCAAAGGGCGGCTGAGGGGCCAAGTGTCAGGGCGGTGCTCGCTGTGCGGTGGACCTGGGTGAGGGGCGGCTGCGGGGCCTGGCATCAGGGCAGTGTTTGCCACGCGGTGGACGTGGGCGGGGGCGCTGGGCGACGGGTGTCGGGGCGGTGCCCGCTGTGGGCGTGGGGCCCGGTGTGAGGGCGGTGGTGGACGCGGGGGGGCCGGGGTGCTGCTCGG